CTGTCCACTCCTTGCCTAACGTGGTGTTGGATTTGCGGAGTCCCGCGAATACGGACTTATCGATCGTGAAGTCGTATTGCTTTTGGTAAACACATCGCCGAAACTGTTGGGACACGCATTCAACGCGTACTTTGTCGGACAGGCACAGGTAGCTTAGCACGAGTTCGCACATGTCGTCCCCGAACCGGTCGAATGATGAGGAACTGTATGTTTCTGGTTTAGACATTATGGTAAATCACCGAGGTTGTTTATTAACACACATAAATAGTTATTTTAGTATGTTATATTGTGTAAATAAATTTTAATTAATTAGATTACTATGCTAAATATTTTGTAATATAAACACGTAACTTGTTTTTCAATAAAAATAATATATTATTTAATTAAAACACATTGAAAAGTAGAAGTTTATTATTATCGAAGTTAGTAACCATGGTTATAATCATTAAAGTCTGCAATAATTTCGTGTGAAAATAAGATAACTTATAAATAACACTATGAGAATACTTTAATTACATTAATACAAATACTTATTTAGCAATCACAAAGATTTATTAATCTTTAAATATTTAAGTTTTAGTAAAATACAAATTAGTATTATACAGTATAATTTATACTACAGTACTAAAATATATTTGTAATATTTGTAAATTTACTTATTGTATTCAAACTTCTCAATAAACTTGAATTGTATTGTATTGAGGTGTTGGTGGTGGCCGGTTAGCTAGAAATGATTCATTTTGATATACTTTATCAATGTTTTTAAGTATAAATAAATTACTCATTTCAATAAATTTTATAAGCTTATACAATAAATATATACAGTTTCGTCATAATTTATATCATATTTAAACCAAACAATTTTAACATATTAATCTAATTTACAAACAATTTGAAATTAGAAATGAAATCTTTTAAACTAAAAATTAATATTTTTAAATTAATTTATCGATAGCATTTAAAAATGCCCTAGTAACGGTTAAATAATTGTGCTTATAATCAGGCTATAAATTGGGTTTTTTAATTAGAGTAGAAATTATATTAATATTTTGTTAACATTATAATAAATGACAATATTTTATAAATCACTTTTTAAAAATGGTATAATTACTTTAATAATTTATTTATTAGTATATAAAATTATACACTTATAAAATAATTTATAAATAAATAAATATTTCATTACATTGGTATTAAATCCAATAATTTTTATTTAACGATATGTATGGACAGGTTATGTGTTATTGTAAAGAAAATATATTAATTTTTATCCTGTTTGTTATTTTTGACTTTTATGTAATAGTTTATAAAAAGGCATTTATTATTTAAAATAGTTTTTAAAATATAATAAAAGTTTAATGATATTTAATGAAAACTAGAAATAAATTTTATTATTAAGTATATACCCCGCTCATTATATTAATATTATGTGAGTGTACAATTTTTAAGTTCCCCAAAAATATTTTATTTAATACAATATTAAGAATATTAATTAATTCATGTAATGTTTTTCATAATTTTTAACAAATTAAAATAAAACCAAAATAACATTATAATACTTGACAACTATCTCGTGTTATGTCATAATTATATGAATCACACCTTATTTACGTAAAAATTGCATATTTTTAAATATTTAAATATTTATAAAATATATGACAGGATACTCTTATACCAAATATTATTTACATTTCTGTCAAAAGTTTCTTTTTTACAGAAAACATAAAAACACAAACTTCGCTATAATTTCATATCCAATATGTTTTTCATAATTATTTCACTTTTTCTACTCAAAAACATTTGTATCTTAAATGTTGTCAACAATTATTATTATTATATAAACCGTATAATAACAATCATCATAAACACTTTTCTATCATAATTATAATGAGTTTACTTTTTATGACTAACTATTATCCAAACAACAGCATGAACTGGATTTTTATATCTGGTTTAATATTTTTTGCTAGTTTATTAATTAAATGGTACAAGGCACTGGTAAAGTATAGCTACATGAAAGCTATGCTGGCTAATATACCGGGTCCACCAGCGAGGTATGCACTTCTAGGTAACTTGGATATGATCTGGAACAATTGCAATGTTGAGCAAAATCGTAAGTAATTTTTAAAATTTATAGATACTATGTAAATTTATTAATTTTAATAATAATATTATAATATTATAGTAAATAATATTATAATTTAATTATATATTACAATAGCTGCTGATTATATATTCAAATCAAAGGCTCACTTGTATAGAAAGGAAGGCATATTTAAATGTAGGAATGCCAACAGAGTTATGGTTTTGATATTCAATCACGAATTAGCACAGGTATGTCATAGTAGTGGCTATTTTTAAAAATAAATAAGTTTTATACTTCTATTAAATAGGATTTTCTCAAATGCAATGTCAATATCGAGAAGGCATTTGAATATCAATTACTGTATGACTGGTTGGGAAAGGGATTGCTTATCAACGACTCGGCAGACCTATGGAGGGAACGCCGAAAACTACTGACCCCTGCCTTCCATCAGACAATTCTCACAGAATTTGTGCCCATTTTTAACGAGAAGTCCGATATTCTGGTGAAGCGTTTGGCCGATTGTGTGGACA